AACAATCCGGGTCCTCATTTTACCCACCTCGGAAGGATGGAAGGCTGAGTCAACCCTGAGTCGGTGAGATTTGAACAGCCGAACTGCAGAACTGCGGTCAGCTGAAGTAGCCTGCAGTGCTGCATTTAACCACTGCACCACCTCAGCTCTTAAGACAGGGGAGTGGGATTCCAATATCTGAGGGGCTTCCACAGAGAGGAGTGGGTCCAGCTATTTTCCAAAGCCCCCCGAAGGCCAGAGAAGGAAGAATGGATGGAAACTGATCAAGAAGAGATTCAACCTGGAAATAAGGAGGAATTTTCTGACAGTGAGAACAATCCACCCATGGAACAGAAGTTGTGGGAGCTTCATCCCTGGAGGCTTTCAAGAAGAGACCGGACTGCCCTCTGTCAGAAATGGTGTAGGGTCTCCTACTTGAGCAGAGGGTTGGACTAGAAGACCTCCAAAGTCCTTTCCACGCTGTTATTCTGTTCTGTTAAGTTCTAAGCTTCGCAGATAGATACACGTCAGAAGACCCCCAACGTCTTATCCAGCTCTTGCTGTGCGAAGGGCTCCTCCACCGAAGACCCCCAAAACCCTTCTCAATTGGGCACTTCTGCCTGTTGTGATGGATTTGGCCCTTCTGGGTCAAGAGGCGGAACTGAACGAAGAGTCAGCGCTTGGGAAGAAAGAAAGGAAGCTGGAAGGACAAGAAAGGGGAGGGCATCTCCACCAGGGGGCGCCCTTGCCTTGCCTCTAAGAAGGAGAGCGTGCAGAAAACACCATTTCCACCCAATTTGGGGGGTCCCAGGATAAGGTTGTAGGGTTGTCGATGGGTCCACATTCTGCTGGAGAGAAGTCCCCAGGCGTCCGGAAGCTCGGAAGACAAAACCTATTGTCCTGCAAAGACCATTTTGTAGCCTTCGGAGAACCTGGACTGGCCCAACCGCTGGACGCCTTCCTGGACTGGCCTGGAAAGAGCAGCTCTCACATCTGGAAAAATTCTTTCCAAAACATTCTGACAGTGAAGAATTGCAAAGGATAAAGTCAAGATAAAGGGACGCGCTGGCTCAGTGGCTGAGACTCTGAGTTTGTCGATCGAAAGGTCAGCAGTTCAGTGGTTTGAATCCCTAGTGCCGTATAATGGAGGGAGCTCCCGTTGACTCGTCCCAGCTTCTGCCAACCTAGCAGTTCGAAAGCAGGTAAAAAATGCAAGTAGAAAAATAGGGACCACCTTTGGTGGGAAGGGAACAGCGTTCTG